CCGAAGCCGTGACAGGGCTGCCCCTGCGGGGCCGATGCCGGTGGCAGGAGATGGCCAGCGATGAGCTGAAGGAGCTGAGGAACGCCATGACCCAGGAGGCCATCCGGGAGCACCAGATGGCCAAGACGGGTGGCACCGTCACCGACCTCTTCCAGTGCGGCAAGTGCAAGAAGAAGAACTGCACGTACAACCAGGTCAGCCCCGCAAAACCCCCAGGGCTCCCCCCTGTCCCCACGGGACCCCGATTTGGGGGATGCCGGAGGGGTCTCCACTGACCCGGCCGCCCACTCCCTCCCAGGTGCAGACGCGCAGCGCCGATGAGCCCATGACGACATTCGTGCTGTGCAACGAATGTGGGAACCGCTGGAAGGTCTGTGCCTGGCGGGGAGGGCTCTGGGTACCCCAGCCTTTCCCCAGCCCTGCGGGGTAGCAGAGACCCCCCAGAACGGTGCCGGGGGGCTGGGTGAAGGCTCACCACCCACTCCCAGCTCTGCTTCTCCTGCAGTTCTGCTGACGGCGCCCAGCGATGGGGCTGGAGGGGACGCGGTGCGAGACGGGATGCTGTGAAAAAAGCAGCCGGGGTGGGGAGGGAGGGTGACGGGGCAGTGCCAGTCCCCGCATCCCAGCTCCCTGTTTCCTTGCACTGGGCTCCCTCGAACATCCCGGGGAGCCAGGCTCCAGCGACAGGCGGGTTTGCTCCGGAAGACCCCGGTGAATTTGAGCGGTTCCTCCCTGTAAATACCTGCTCTTTGCTTGGGGCGCGCTGGGAATCCACTGAGAATGGACACATCCCTGGGAAGGGAGACTGGTCTGACCTGGGCAGCTTGCCCTTCCCTGAGAGAAAGCTGGACTTGGATGATTTGGGGGCAGGAGGGACATTGCCCCATGGATGTGGGGCTGTGCCACTGTCCTGGGAGCCAGGGGTGGGAAGGGGCCAGAATTTACCCCCAAACGCCGCCTTCTTCACCTAAGTGCACGCAGTGGGAGGACAGGGAGGGAGACGGGTGGTTGCAGGGTGTCCAGATCCCAGAGGGATGCCACCATGTCCCTCTGCTCTGTGACACACGGACGTGGCTCAAGGGAACTGTGTCCCCAGGAAAGAAGAAGGGATGAGGGGAGAGGAGCGAGAAAAACCCTCCAGCTAGAGCAATAAAGGTGTGAACTGTCTCTGCGGCACAGACTGCTTTCTGAAGGGGGTGTTGGAACCTGTGCCTGGGTTTGCACCCCCCCCGGCTCGAACCTCATGGTCCACCAAGAGCCCCCAGCCAGCTCCAGCACCTCTTGAATCCACCAGCCCCCAGCTTGGGATGTAGCGGTGGCTTGATGCCCGTCCATCACCTCCCTGCTGATTAAAGCCCTTTAATTAAGGCTGGAGCGGCTTCCCGGCTGGGTCGGGGTGCTGAAGGCTGTCCCATGGCAGGGCAACACCTCCACCGACAGCCGGGAGGGTTTTCCAGGGAAAGGGCATCGGGCACCGGCCGGGAGATGCACCTTTGGCTGCAGGAGGTGCAGGATGGAGCCTCGTGGCACTGAGTCCACCCCTCGCCGCCGCCAGCCTCTGCCAGCGGCTCCGTTCAGAGGCAGCGAGAGGGGACGGGGACACAGGTAAGGTCACGGTGACCATGGGTGACCGTGGACGAGGGATAAGGGAGCTGCTCCTGCGCCTGCGCGAGTCGACGGGCAGGAGCCGAGGAGGATGGTGGAGCTGCTGGATTGACCGATCGTTAATTTTTCAATCTTGGGCCGAGGTGTGAATTTTTCCCCAGGCAGAGCTCAAGGCAGTGTGCACCCAGATTTGGGTGCTACCCCTGCCAGTCTGTGGGGGTCCCAGCAGGCCAGGGAAGGGTCAGACACCCCTGAGAGTGCCTTCGGTGCTCATTAGCACACCAAAGTCATTAATAAGCCTCCGAGGCAATTATTTACACTTGCAAAGTGCGCGTGGCTGCAATTAAGGAGTATAGCCGATTGTGGGGGTTGAATAAAACGTTGGCGTGACCTTGTGCGGAGGTGAGCAGCGCACGGGGGAAATTCGCAGCGCACGGGGAGCCCCGGACGGGCAGCACCGCGCCAGCAGCGTTCAGGGGCTCACGTCCTGTCCCCGGGGTGCAACGGGACACGCTGGGGTGGGACAAGCCCGAGACGGGGGATTTGGACCAGTATTTTTTGCAGGCCAGTTCAGCAAAGGTGTCTGGGCAATAGGGGAGGAAGCCTGTCCCCAAACACTCTGTGATGGAGCTCCTGTCTGTCCCACAGGGGACACGTCCCCAGGGGAAATGTCGCCCTGCACACCCTCCCCAGGTCCTCTGAGAAATCCCAGAGGAGGAAAGGGAGCAGGGAAGGCAAACCGGAGAGCTGGGCGCTGCTGGAGG